GACGCCTTCTTATTTTCATAATTAACAGGAAATACATGTTATACATTAAATGTGACACAAGAGAGATGAATTATGCAGTAAATTCTGTGTGTGCTGCTCAGCACAAAGCCCAAGGCACATTCAGCAGAGTTGCTGTGAAGATCTGTAATGAGTTTCAAGTACATCATTTCCTGATGGAGGGTAAGAAAACATCCATCAATGCTAATTTTCCCACAGTTTTTAGCTTTTTATGAATACTTTACAGCTTGCAAAAAAGATGAATTTCTAAAGTGCAACTTGAGGAAACTCTCTTAGTAATTAGAGAGTATTCCTAGCCAAAACTAATGAGGTCTGAACCTTAAACATGTGGATGGCTCAAAGTTGACAGCCCCAGCCTCCACTTTCTTCAAAAAGGTTAAATTAATTCCTCAAATCTGAACATAAACATTTTGGTTTCTTGTTGAACTCCAAACAAGGCTTATCATTGTGCCTTCAAATGTGCAGAATTTGGGTGTCATTCCTGATTCTGTAGTAGTTTTGTACAGGATTAAGTGGTATGAAAAAGCACACTCCAGTGAGATGGGGGCATCTTTACCCAAGATTGAAGCTCAAGGATTTTGTGAAGCGATGCTGACTTTGTAGTGGAGCACATGACCATGCACACAGCTCTGTTCTCTTCAGCTTCTGTCAAGATGTTGCAATAAAGCCATCCTGACATTTTAGGAGTGAGAAAATGGATTTTATATACTGGCAAGGAGGGAGGGACAACTTTTCTGATTAGGCAATTGTCCATTTTATATTGAGAACTATCTACTTGGTTGCAGGCGTCAGAGAACCCAAATATAATTCCGGAATATTTTTCCAGCTGTTGTATGTTTTTTATTTAGTGAGAAAACATGAAATATATTCCATGGTTAATGAATAACAAGTATTTATATGTTGTATGAATAAAAAACATAAATATATTAAATATTAAAAAAATGTACCTGCTATAACAAGGCGCTTAATACCTTAAAACTCTGATGATTTTAGAGAATTTGGAGGTTATCAGGTCAAGAGTTGTGAAGAGCTTTGATGTGTGAGGAGGGTAAAAGTTTTGATTAAAGCTCACCCTCAGTGGGAGCATCAGGTTGTTATTTTACTGCATGTGTCCCTTGCTTATGTCCTCCAGTTATGTTAAGTGAAAATGCTCTCAGAGGAGATCACTACCCTTATTCAATCAGAAGTTAAGATTTTTTTCTGAGATAGAATTTAAAATCAGTGTTCAGGTTTCTTAACAGAGACTACTTTCCAGCACCTATCACTTGAATGAGAAGGCTTTTCTATACCCAGAGTAGATTTTATTTGATGAATCCCAGAATCAAAAGCCATAACCTGAACAGCCTGAGGGCTGGAGTCTGAACAGCAACAAACAAAATAATTTCAGATATATGTGAATAAATTGAAGCTGTGCTTACAGAATTCAGAATCACTTGAATTCTGCAAGACAATTCTCACTCTTCAGTGTTACATCAGTTCCAAAGCAGAGCTTGTTTCAGTCATGTTTTTGTTAGCATGTACACTCATGGGAACATTGTTCACTAATGTGTTTCAAGGGAGAACTGTACCTTCATAAGGTGCAGCTTTTCATGACCAACAAACTGCAGAGACACATTCATCCTCCCTGAAACATTTCAGCTGCTCAGACAAGACAGAAACAATTCCCTGGGACTGCATGACTGTTATGAAAAGTAAACAATCACTCTGGATTAATCTGGTTTCTACAAAGAAATTAAGTAATGAAATTTTTTCATCCTAATTAAGCAGTGATCACTGTGAATATTCAGACAAAGCAGAATAGGTTCTTTTATGTGTTCTTATTAGCCAGAAAGGCTAATTTGTTTTTGCTTAAGGTAGGCAAAAATAAGTTGTTGAGCTCTGGTACTAATACAAAACTATTTTGTGATCCAATAAGGGTCTGGAATATAACACTGAATATTATTCATTTCTCTTTGAAGCAAACAAAACTTTTGTAGTCTAATACTACACTCATTTCCCTGCTCAGTAGTTAGCATGTCAAGTGTTCACACTGGACCTTAAAATGAGTTAGAAAGCTGACGAGTATATCAACATTTGCAGCATAAAACTGTCTTCTCTTTGATCATTCAAGCTTTCCATCACTCTAGGTGGTCCTAACTAATAAGGAACTGTCATCCTCTTCACTACTTGATTCCAGTAGCCACACAACAGACCACATGCAGTTAATGCTTGCCATTAGTGTTTCAGTCAAATACCAACACTTATCTGCAGATTTATGATCCTTTTAATTACATATTTATAAATCATGTCACTATATGTATGGGAAAAATCTGTCTCTTTTAAGGATTTGAAGATTCTGCATCTTTTTGTTTGGGATATTTTTTCCCCTCAATACAAAAACCTGTGGAAGTTTTTTAATGTATCTGATACATGTTATTGAGCAGGGACACTGCTGTTAGTTCCACACAAATATGAACTGTGAATAATAGAACTCTTTGATTTTCTCCAGATATTTATATGAAGTTCTTTGTATAAGAATCTGTGCAATGCCCAAACTGTCAGCATTCAATCCCATGTCTGTGCTTCAGCAGCCCTTGTCTGCCAGGTTATGGATGCTGAGCTCTAACAGCTCTACTCACTTTTTGTGCTGAGAACTCTGGAAAACATCCCTGCAGAGAAGGGCAGGTCAGAATTAAATACATGCTTCTGGTAAGGCTCTTTTCCCAGGCAGCTATTCCATAATGAGTTTAATATGATTCTGCATCTTTGAACAATGGTGATTGCACATACAACACGAGTTAATGTGTCCTGTCCCAGTAAAGGAGAAGCTGTGGCTGTTATAGGATAACAGAACCGTGGAGCAGAGATGTATCTATGTCTTGTTTAAGTATTAGGTATTCATTTGACAAATTAGAAGGACTGATAATAAAATTCTTGTGATGCAAATTCTTTCTGAAAGGAGTTAAAAGCAACTTTAACCATATAAATCCTCCTCAAATGTCTATCTTGTATATATGTAGAAAAAACTCCGCTAAGTTTGAGATTTTTGAGAACAAAGACATTGCTGAAGGGAAACTTTGTTTTATAACTGATCTCTATGAAGATCAATTCTCCCTAGGCTCTCTCTTGCTTTGATTATATGTTGTTTGGCTGACCTCATAATCTTGAAAATACACGTTTGTGATTGGGTCATGGTCAGGCATGTAAATTAAAGCAAGCCCTTTTGATGCATAAGTAATTCCTATTTTAGAGTTTTATAATAGTAAGCCCCTCTTCCCAAATCCTGTGCAGGCAGGAGTTTATGCCATGATCTCCCCTGGATGTAAATGATTTGCAGCTTAGAGGTAAAGGATAGTAATTTGTTCCTGTTGTAGTGTCTACAGCACCTACTCCCAGCCCAGTTATTCCTTTGGGATACCTGGTTAGGCTGGATTATCTGAATGTGGGTTTTTCTGGGGCTCTGAATGTCTCATGCAGAGTGCCTGCAATATGAAGCACTGAGTACTGATTTTAAACACTAGTAAGCTGAAAAAAAATTTAAAATATGACCTTTTTAGTTTCATTACCATACACATTCCCATAATTCCACATACTCCTCTGAGTTTGGGTTTAACCCCCCTGGCAGTCATATGCTAGTGAAACACATAGATTTGACACCTTCATTTTATTCCATTTTAATATAGAAGTGTAAATTTTAAATAATTATGAAAGATATGAACTTAAAAGAGGGAAGATACCTGCTCTAAGAGAGGAACGACACAATGGATTTGCTCTGAGCTGCTTGGGATCATTTAAAACCAATGAATTAAAAATCAGATAGTTGGTGAGGGCTATAATTTACACTACAGAGGTGATAAAGCCTTTTGTGTTCCTATTTGCAAAGAAAGCATTAAACTACACTGATTTTTGATTTTTTTTCTTCCCACCAGGGAGAAATGTGAAACTCAATTTTACCCCCGATTGGTAAGGTGCTAATTTGTCTGACAAGTTGTTGGAATCTCAGCATGTTTGAGGTATCCTTGATGTATCAACACCTTCATGCTGAATGAAGGATGTCTTTAATGTGTAAATGTTTAGTACATATCCTATATCTCATTAGCCAAGAACAATACAAACCACACACAGGCAAGAAGTGTCAGAAGCAAGCTCCAGTCAAAGAGGAAAATCTTTTATGTTCTAATTAAATGAGCAAACATGTGGAATACATCTCTTTTGCAAGCAGTTTATCAAAAAATACACTTGAAATTCGCAGCCTCACTCGAGTTCTAAAGCCCTGATGAGTCCAATATCAAATGATATTAGATTTGAATCCAAGTACCATAACTGATGTTTCCAAGTTCTTCTTACCACATGCAATATCACAAATTATTAAGATTAGTAGAAGAAAAGCAGTTGTCAATAAACCCACCAAGCTATACTTCTCCAAACTATGTTTGTTAGTCTAAACGTTCATAAGTTATACATAAATTTAGACATTTAGCTTCATTCACCCTTTTTTGGGAATGAAAAGTTTTCTAGGGAGAGCTGAGGGGTGCTGGTGAAGTGAAGTGAGTTCTTTATTGGATGTCTTCTAACAGGATTTGCCTGACTGTGAGACCAGAAAAGGGATGGCTCTGGCAGAGGATGTGTTCACACACTTTCACATGGTTCTCCACCCTGGCTCTGCTCCAAGGAGTGCCTCTTGATCTCTCTGCAGCAAAGCATAAGATGGACATGGGTCTACAGGGAGAAACACAGACCTTCTGCTGCATTTGGAGCCCTGGGAGGTGGGCACCTGTCCTGCTCAGCCTTTGCTGTGGTCCCTGTGCACTCCCTTCCCTGCAGGCCATGTGGGCACATTGATGTGCTGCAAACTTCTGGCTGCACATGAGAGATTGCAGACACTCTTTTCACTACAATATATCCACATCACATTACATCAGTCTCATGTTTGTCAGTTCAGTTGCAATTGAGCCCTGGTCCTGTGTATGGGTTCATTCCTTCTTTCTGCTTTTCTTTTGCAGAGGCTGATCCCTTTGAACTGCTGAAACCTGATGACTTGCAATCAATGGTCTGTGAAACAATAAGGTCAGCAGTGTGAAGATTCAGATTTTCTGCCTCTAAATGCAGACTGATGTGCTGGGCCACTGAGGTGAGTCTGAGCTGAGCTCATTGCCTGATAGAACAATGGAGTGGGAGATTCAAAAGTACCTGGAGACATGTAGAGCTGTTAATCCAGCTCTGTGTACAGTGTCCATCCTCTCCACATACATAGCTGGGGACATACACTGCATAAACACCACAGATGTGACTGACAAATGCCAGTTTCTTGTTAAATGTTAAGCACTGATGGACTCTGAGACTGGAATTCTAGGCCCCATACTCTACCATGCAACCCTGCAAAAAGATCAAGAACATACAAGCTCAGTCATAAGACGAGTTTTTCTGATGAAGGTAAAGCAGGAGTTTAGGTTATTTTATTTTTGGTTTGGTTTGGTTTGGCTTTTTTTGTATCTGTGTAGTTTTACAAATACAAGAATATTATATTTATTTTTATCTGGGGAAATAGAAATTTGCAAGACTTGCATGAATGCCAGAAGTTCTATAAGGTGACATATTTTGATATGAAATGCAAGTTTGGATTCAGTTCCTGATAGGCACTAAATGGAAGCTTCTCAGCTGGATCTCAAAATATAGCTGGTGTAGGAGCTTTAAACAATTTGGGAGACTTCTGTGCAGATGAACGTTATATGGGCCATACAGGTCCTGCAGTTTAACCTGTCCCAAGTGGATCGATGCTGGATAACAGATCCGTTTAATTTGCTTTCCATGAGTAAAGCAGGACCTTACAGAAGCTCAGTTGTACCCAGGTTTATGTTGCACTCCTAAAAGAAAACCAATACAAGGATGAGGCATTTAATTGGTGAAATGATGCAAAGGGAGACATTTCCCCCAGATTTTGACAAACTGGCCTCAGTATGATCCCAAAGAGTGCTGAGACATTCAGATATCACACAGACAGTTCTATTCACACAAACACGTGTCTGCAGTGAGTGCCTGGGTCGGTGTGTGAGTGGCAGAGCTGTGTGGGGATGGTTTCATGGGACCTGCCCAGGCACTGCAGAGCCTGAGTTAGAAGGCAGGGTGAGCTATTCATAGTAAAGAACTTGCACGGAGCACTTAGGCCTCAGAGAAAAGAAAGAAAATGGTTTTTTACTAAGGGACTGAAGCTTCTTTTGTGCTTTGAGGCTATCACCTTATGAGCAGTTTGTCTGAAATTACTGCTAGAGCAATTATAGGAGTGTGGCAAGGATTCCAAATTAAGACAAACCCTGCATGAACCAGTCACAGCAGATGGGTGTTTCTGTCTGTCTGGCTGGTGAAAGGTCTCTGGATTAGTTAATTGTGTAAATACTCATGATCATGAAGTTGCTATAGGCGTTACATAACTTCACTATGTTGGTCTCAAATTCATGTATCTACTACTAAACCAATTTTCTAAGTACTGTTAAATATTTTCCTATTAGTGTCTGGAACTCAAATCAGACAAGCTGCAAGACTTAGCCAGTCCTGACAAGGTTCAGTTTCTGCCTGAAATTAAATTAGTTGGCATCAATTGGAAAAAAAACACAAACTCTTCTGTAAATGAGGTTTTTTATTTGAGAGTGACAAAACAGGTCACAGGAAGAAACATGACAAATAAGTAAAGATAGAAAGAAAAGGCTGGGGAGACAGAGCAGGTATGTCAACATATTTTGCATGGACAGTTTGACTTTCTCGCTATTTTAATTTACTTTATGTCACACAGTTTCATGTCACAGTAGAAGTAATCTTAACAGGAATAAAATTCTGTCACTGACATAAAACAACAGGGGTGAGATTTACATATTTAATTTCAATTTAGGTTCCTGTACTGACAACAGGGAGATTTGGAAAAACTTGAATATACTTGCAGATCTTGTGACTGTTCTGTTCAAATACAATTTTTCAACTCTGCAGATAAAGCTGTTATGTTGTTAAGATAATGATCACAGAGCACTTTTCTACTCCTAATTGTTAGAAGTAAATATTTATTTCAGATCTGAACCCAACCCTCAGATCACTACATATTTCTTGGTGCAGATATTGAAAAAATTGCTGGAGTGCGTGTGCAGAATTGGGAAATCAGACCTGGGTCCTTGGAATTGCTCCTGGGCCATAAACATATGCAAAGCAGAGCACTGCTGGTTTGCTCTGGCTCGTTCCTAGTTTTGGGATTCCAGTAGTCAATGCTAAATGCAAACCCCTCAGCGCTGGCCCCTCCTACATTTCCATTTGCAGCTGCACATTCTGAGTGCTGTGGAAGCAGATCTCAGAACACGGTGTGATCTGCAAACATATACACAAGACATGAGCCACAGGAACTGTGCAGGTTTGGAACGGGAGTCACAGACAGCTCACAAAAAGCTGTATTTTGAAATGAAAATGTGAAGATGTATGAAAAGATAAATGAGTGCCTTGGCTTCTGTGAAGCATTTTGCCCCCAATATCAAAATGCCACTGCCTTCACAAAGGCACAGAATTTATTGTCCCTATCTCTCATTAAGGCTGTTTACCTGCATAACGTTGGGATCAGCTGTAGCTAAGACAAAAATCACACTTATCCCAGATCCATATTCTACCCCAGTGCTGCTGGGAAGGTCTAGCAAAGTCTCTCCTGGTTTCTGGACATTTGCCATTGAAGCATCAATGGTGCAAGTTGAGGCAGCAATTGTTTGCAATGCTGAAAATGCTGCCAGTGAGAGCTGGATGAGCTTTTTAGCTGCTCCAGCTGTTTCCCCCGTCTGGCTCCTGTCAGCCTCATGGGGTGCCCTGGGATGTTCATGTGGCACTGGGACTCTGAGGAACACTGCTCTGAGCAGAATCCATGGCTCTGCTCCTGGATGTGTCTCCTCAGCTCCTTGCTCTTCCCAGACAGCAGACACTGAATTACCAATCTCCTCTTCCATCTCTTTTCCTTTCCTATTGTACAGGCTCATGCATATATTCAACATCAACTTTCACAAACTATAAGCCTTAGTACTATTATATTTTCCTACCTTAAGGAAACTTATTCATGATTAACTGAATCTTCAGCTGATTTAGAGCACTGTAATTCATTGACTCAGCAACATAGTTAAGACTATACCCCCTGGGTGGTTATGTTTTTCCCCCACAAAAATTCCCAGGGCGCAAAGGGTCATTTTCAAGGCTTGTATCTATCTAAGGCATTTGAAGGTCAAGCACAAGTGGTCTGTGGAACTGCTTTGAATCCTGAAATCAAATTCTTCCAAAACTGGTATCTTCTGGTAAGGAAACAATCTGCTGGATGTGGATATCTGAATGACTGGCCTATTTCTCTAGGGTTTCTCCTTGGGAGCAAGCAAGCAGGGTGACTTTTTTTACTCCTGGAGACTGGGTCTAGAACAATCTTTTTACTAGAGAAACCAATAAAATATACCCCAAATTTGCCCCTCACATAAAATAAGGCTTCCTGGCAACTGAGGCAGAGCCTTACTAGTGTTGAACAGATCCACTGGTGATTTTAATTCACTTCAAACTGAACCTTCATTGTGTGAACAGTAATCCAAGTACAGGATTTGTTTCCATTTTTCTAAGGGAAAACCTGGACAGAACTTAGGAGATAAAGCAGAAACCTGACTGCTTGGCACTGATGCCAGATTTATACAAGGTGATAGCTTTTCCTTGGGCACCTAAATGAAATAAGGGACAGCTAAAAGCTTCCACCACCCAGAGCTCCTCGTGACACTTATGGACAAGCCTCTTTCAAATCTCTAAAATTTCAGAACATTTAAAAAAAATTTTGCCAATGGCCTCTAAAGACCAAAAGGGAGCTGGGCAAGAGCTGAGCCTGTGAGCAGCATACAGACCCTCCCTTCTCACTCCCTTCATTCTTTTCTGGTCCCCCCTGGCACAGAGGAACTGCTCTGGTTTCTCAGGGACAGCATTTGATTGTTAAATTCATTTCTCACAGGGGCCTTTCCCTCTTTTCCAAGCTACTTCAAAATGACAGGCAGAACCAAAATCCCATTCGATTAAAAGCAAGTAAAAAAGGGAGATGAACTCCTAGCAAACAAACAAAAACAGTTTGAAATTTTGACTTAAAAAGCACGGCAGTATTTTACCAGCAAGGACTGAATTCATTAATGCTACCTTATTTGTGCTACCATTAAGAGTTTTTCACCATTACTGTTCAAAAGCATTTTTAGAACCTGCTGTTTTACTGCTTTGAAATAGCTCTACCCAGGAGTGAATCTTTGCATTTATTTTCAAAACAATCAATTCTTCCACGTGTAAGACTTCATGCAAGTCCAGTCTTCAAAGACAAAAAAATACCAGGCTTCCTTATTCTAGACCACTTTCCTCTTCTATTCCTCATCTCCCACATTTTATTTTCTTATTTGTTGTCCAGCAGCAGTTCCTATGGTCATGTGCTGGGGTAACATGCATATAGCATACCCTGTACACACACATGAATAGGCTCAAAAAATCCAGATCAGTACCTTTTAACTCCCCTGTAAATTCTCAACTATTTTCGTTTCTCCATATCTTCTTCTTTTTTCTATTTCCTTTCCTTTTTATCTGCCCACCTTCTCTGCTGGTATTTTATAATGCTGTTCAATGACTTGATATTCTGAATCCAGGGTTCACTGCAGTCCTTAAACTACTCTCATTGCCAGTGCCTCTTGACACTGAGCACATTCAGTGCTTTTTGTGTGCCAGAGCCATAGGCAGAAGCCTGTGACCTCCACGATGTCATCCTTAAACCATTTTGACCCAAATAGGACCAAATTTATACTGTTCTTTTAGTATGGCAACTGATCTAAAAGACCATTAAGAACATGTTGGATGTTGGAGCTGGAGTAAAAAGTATGCTTTTGTTTTGAAAAGTGAGAGTCCCACCACAGCAGGCTCCTGTGGAAACACAAACTGAGATGGGCTCAACCACCTCAGCATCTCTGACAGGCATTTACACTGCTCTTTGTGACTTTGGCACACGTGTATTACACAGCTACATGGGTCAATAAAGTGAACAGACAGGAAGCAAGAAACATTAATGCTGTGTCAACAGCATAGTTCCCATCACTTCCTTGGCAAAGCCCAGTGCACACT